CTAGTACAGTTGACCAAGCTTTTCCCCTGGTTCTCCAAGGAAAGTGAAAGGGAAAAAATAGACCAATTTGGATTGTGTCATTAAAATGGCCTCTCACATAACCTTTCGCCAGCAAGGCTTGGCTCAAATACACAAGGTGGCAGCCAGCATTCTGGCAGTTTCTTGGTATAGCCTGTGTTGGGGCAATTCTTCAAAATTCCTCTTATGTCAGATAAACAGTGAATCATTGCTTGATTCATCTAGGGCTTTGTTTTCAGTTATGAAAAAAACCCACTCTAAATCGTGCATGCCCAGTAGGTCAGGTCAGAAGATAGGTATCTTTGTATTTCTTTCTGAGAAATGCTTTGATCTGTTTTTTCTTTTTCCTCTTTGAAGGTGTTCTGACAACACCTCTTTCTTTAGTTCTGAAAGGTTCCCCTCACAGCAATTTGAGATGTGAGATAACAAACATCAGAGAATTTAGTGGAAGCATCCCTTACGTTATCACATTATTCATTTAGCGTATATCTTTGGGGAAACTGTTAAGCCAGCATTATTCCCTGAATCTGCTATAGTTCACATGTGGAAAAAGCTTTTCTGTATGCTGCTTTACAGAATCAGACATAATTGTATATGTGGCAAAATATTTTTTGACTTTTAACTTCAGAATAAATTTTTTTAAAACTTTTTTAATGGTGTGGCTAGCAATGGAGGGGAGGAACAGAAAGCAGGGAAGGAGAAGGATGCGAAAGTCATAACAGGTTTTTGTGTAACATTTAGGATTTCAGTGGTGTTCAGTAACTCTCCACTGTTGGCATGCTTACTTGTGCTAGACAGTAGTAACTAAAATGTCAATTGATTTTTACAGCAACCTGATCCAGTACTCTGGCACTCAATGCAGGCCACATTCAGCAAAAGTAAACAGTGTGAAGGTAAATTCACATTAGTCCTTACATGGCCATGATGAAATGGGAAATTCTCTGTCTTAAGGTACCAAACTCCAGCTTGCGTGCTCTCCTCTGAGGCATGAAAGTCACGTATACAGGTGTGGACCCGATGACGGGGTTGCTCCCCAACAGCCTTTGTGCAAGCTCACTCCCAGCCTGCATGTGTTGGTGATCCAACAGGCAGAAGTGGTCCCACTGAAGGGACCAGCTCTGTTCATACTCGCACCCCAGTGGTGAGCATGCCAGCTGCAGCAAGGTAGGAGGTAGGCAGTGTAATTGCATTAATGCAGTGCTGTCACAGAGCTAATTTGCTATGCCTGGCACCATGCACCGCGCACAGGGTTGCAGCTGTGTGGCACTGCACTCCAGGAGCCTCCTGGCTCAGGCTTGGAGACAACATACGTGGCTTGGCCAGGCTGACAGGTAATGGCAAGCCCATAGGCAGCACTGAATTGCCCCATGCTTGATGCAAGGTATGTATGAACGGACTGCTTTGTGTTTCTCTGTGTAAAATAACACTGGGCAACTGAGCATCACCAACACAGACTGGATCAGTTCTAGTTAAAAAAACCTAAAGGGCCGCTGCTGACTTCAGATGCAACCTGCATAATGCAAGTGCTTCACCCAGCTCACCGCAGCGCGGCTGGCTGCTAGGGTGGGAGTGGGGCATTTATTCCTTCTTTTTCCCCTCCCCTCCCATCTGCCTGTGATCTGGGTATTTTGTCAGCCTCCATTTAATGTGCATACTTCTCCACTGGCTGTTCCCCAAACTCGAAAGAGTGCAGTAATTTCCTCAACGAAGGACTTGTCTAAACAATGGTGTTTTGGCTGCTTTAACAAGTGTTGTTCAAGTGCTATATCTCCCTAAGGCTCATGGAGTTACATTAGTACAAACATCACCATTCAGGAAGGGATATATGCTTTAAAGCACCTCTCTAGGGCTATGTACCAATGTCCACAGTAGTGTGGAATAAAAGAGTGGTAGGTTAAGCTTGCAATGGATGTGGGCTGCGTACCCCTTTTTAAAAAGCAAACCTGTCTGTGACAGTTTTATAGAAACTCAAATACTTGTGGGGGGGAAAAGTTGATGGTAGGACAGTTGACATCCAAACATACATCAAACTATTTAATTATTTCATGATAGGTTTCTTGTCCTAGTGGGCTGAAAGTGGTCGGGATGTTTGGTGATGTCTTGCTGGTGTAGAGTGATTTGGTACTTTTCGTGGCCCCTGTGTCCTTGCCTGAGGTCTGCAGTGTTGTAGACATTACTTCTGTGCAGGTTGGTTGTTATAAACTGTATTTACCCACTAAGATATTAAAGGACTCATCTACACCAGAACACCTCTACTAGAGTACTTGCACTGACAGAGCCTCCAAGCACTCTAGCAGCCATTCCCGCCGCCTACTTCACGCAGCCTCTGCATCTGAGAAAGCTGTGGCAAAGCAGGGTGTCCATAACTAGGGGTTCTGCAAACACAGGTGTCTCGGTCATGCAGTGTTGCGTTTGTTCACACCCCTTGCTGAGCCTATCCTCTTAGGGGTAGCTTGTGGAGCTCCCCCCTCCAGCTGCAGGGTGTGTGTGCTGGCAAAATTGTGGGTTTTCATGCTGAAGCCCATGCTGGATTAGCTGGATCACCATCACTGGGCTGGTGAGCCGGCCTCTTCTCTTTCACTTTGTTCTGGCTTCACTTGCAGAACTAAAGGGTTTTCACTTCCCTTTCTCCCACATAGGTGTCACTTGTGTCCCCTCACCTTTGTGTTTGACCACAAACTCTCAAATTTTCTGGTGCTTTATTCCCTCCCTCTTTTATTCATTATTTGTGTCAGATCACCGCCCTCCTTACAACTGTCCGCAGACCCATCTCCTTGGAAACAGCAGAACTTGTTTATGTGAAAGTAATAAGGAAACTAATTGATGCATAGCAGCTGCAGGCATGTGAGGGAGCTGTGTTCCACTGGAGGACTTCAGAAGAGCGAGTCTTCGCTTATGCTGTCTGCCAAAAGGTCAGATTGCGTCAGTGAAAATCACCTTCTTCCTCTGCAGTTCCTGAAGTTGCCTTCCTCTGTTCACAGCAGTGGTAGGAAGCTTGCTGTGTGTGCATATGCATATTTTTACAGACCTTTTTTGCTAGTCTTTTTCGTCACTAACATGTAGGGGTTGAGAAGCAATAGGAGACCTGGTAAGTCTTGCTTGTTTCTGATTTTGTGGAATAGCATGCTGGTGCACCGTGCCATGCCAGGCCTGTTTCCTCTCCTGTTTCAGCCCTGACCCGCTCTGTGGCCACAGGACTTTCCGATCCCTATCTTGAGATTTCTGCTGCTCCCTACTCTGTGCCCTTCACTGCCGCTGCCCTTCATGCTGTTGGAAATGCGTGATATGCCTGTCTGACCTGGCTGGCTGTTAGAGCTGGTCAGGTGTCTCTGCACCATGTGTGCTGGTCCTGCAGGATGGAGCTGTGCAGGCCTGTAAACAGCTTGTGTGCCCATAAATGTGGCAGGGCCACCAGGTGGGACCTCTTGCCAGAGACAGTGGCGTACCTGGCTGCCCGCCGCTGCCGGCACAGCACCAAGAGCTTGCATCCTGGGCTCGGGCAGGATGGAGGCAGGGCCCACAGGGAACTCTCCAGAGAAGGCCTGTGTCACAAGGGTAGCCTGCACAGCTCCCCTCTTGCGTGTTCGGGGACGTGAGCCTCTGGGCACTGTGCTGGTGCCAGGGGGACCGTGGTGCCAGGGATCTGCCCTGAGCTGTGGGATCTGCCCAGGGGGTGTTAGCGCACAAAAGCAGTGGTGTCTGGGAGGCCCCAAGTCAAGCAAGCCCTGGCGAAGAGGTGCTCATGTTGACATCTCCGTGATGACAGGTTGGAGGAGGGAGGAAGTATTTCCGTGTACCTTTGGTTTAGTGTGTATCTTTAGAGGCAGTGTGGATGTGTGATGATTTTTCTATTTTATATGGCCTCTGAAACAGTGCTGGAGAACTGTTCCTGGAAACTTTTTTCATTATTGAAAATTTTCTTCCCTGCCCACCGGGTATGAATGGCGTTTCCTGGGGTATGCTTCTGCAGGTTTCAGTCTTGGTTTGAGTTTCTTCCTCCTGTTACTAAATACCTCCTCTGGGTGACTTTCTTGGGAACTAGCATCTGTAAATAGCCTTGCCCAAGTGGGGAGCCTGTTCTAGTTGCATGCCTTGTATTTTAAACTCAAGTGATACCATAATTGTTATGTCATTGAACCTTCAAATAAGTTGTTTTTCTGTCAGCTGAAGCTGTATATACTTTTCATTTCTTACACTGCATCAACTGAAGTGCTTGGTACTACTTTGCTAGGTTGCTGCAGTGTGATTTAAAACTTGCTTTAACTTCCTAGAGGTTGTATTAGATTAAAGCACTTTCTGCAAGTTTCACTGTCCATGTCTTGAGTATCAAGGAAAATCACTATTTGACAGGGTGTAAACTATCTTCAAATGTGCTTCTGATAAATAATGTGAAAGGGTGGGGCAGAAAGGGAGTGGAGAAACAGGACTTAATACATACACTTAATAATGGGGAGAATGCTGGCGATATTGCATGTTAAATGACCTTCTGTTATCTCAACACTAAATGTGGAGAGCTGTGTCTTATTATGTAATAAAGCCACATGTAAAAAGATAAGCAGTAGAGCACTAAGGAGGCTGCAAATGAAAACAGGCTGTAAAACTTGGAATGCTTGCTCTGCAGGGAGCACAGAGAGGCATACACTGAAGTCTATAAAGGAGATAATAGAAAATGTTGTTAATCCTTGGCTTTTAAAAGGACAAAAATCAGCATAAGTTTTTAGAAAGCACCAAGAAAAAGTCTTAGAAAATTTTGCATGGTCAAAGAGAGCTATGATTAGTATTATGAAAGGCATTGTTCGAGAATTGCATTGAAATACAGGATTCATCTAGGGGGTTGTGGTTTTTTTAATTATTATTATTTTGGTGTACATGATCTGGTTTGATATAAACGGAGCCAGGGGCAGCTCAATGACATACTTTGAAAACTGTTACATAGTCTGTTAAAGAGCTAATAGGTTTAAATAGCTCTCTCTTTACAGGCTATGGATTCTGAATCAAAGAACAGTTTTGTAGGAAACTTTCTTCAGCCACCAGATAAGATGCTTCCTGCAGCCTTTGCTTACATAGAATCAAAGAAGTTGGCAGCTGTTGGTAGTGACAGGCCTTCTATCCCCAATAACCAAGGTAAAGCCAAATTATGTTCTTAAAGGGGTCTTTTTAATTGTGTCATGAGAAATCTCTTGAGCAAACTCCCTGTTCTGTTTTAGTCAGTTCAATGACTTGCTGCGTTTATCAGACTGACATTGAGACAGGATGTATATGTGTCCTGAGGGAGTAGTCTCCCTGAAGTCATATGTCTGGAATGGAAACTGCTGCAAGTCTTCTAACATCCTTATAAACTTTGGCTTTGAAAATTGTTTAACTTAAAATCGTCAGACTTCCTCTAAAAGCAAGGAGAATGCTTCAAACTCAGCAAAAGCAGTTCATGACTTTAAATACAGCAAAAAAAGATCATTAGTATGGTACACTGACTTGAAATTGGCTTTGAGTAGTGCTATTCGACTCCCTCTAGCTTAAAATCACTTCTAAGTTTTTTTGTGTGGTATGATTCCTTGGGAGAACTTTTGAATAATGCAGACTCTTAGGAAAGTTAGCAGTATGAAAGTTACTCTATATGAAATATGGGTCCGCTATGGTTGTTCTGTGCCTTGATGGGTGATTACTCTCTGGAGCTCACAGGGCAAATGCTTGGTGGCTTAGCATATCTGGAGAGCTCAGTGAATCACAAGGATACCATATTTGGATTTACTATCATGGAAAACTTTGCAATATTTTACAGACATAGCCTATGTGTGTGCATGTGATCATTGTTCTTAACTTGAAGAATCTGTGACTTCTGTAGTAATCTTTTGTCATGCAGAGTTTGGGCTTTTTCAATTAAAATATTCAGTTCACTGTTATGCAGCTAAGTGTTTAAGTAAGGAAATGTTTGGCATGCCAATACAAGGATGATAGAAGTGGTCCCACTTCATGTTTCTGCTCTCTGGTGTCTGCTTTTTGCTTCTTTTTTATTTTTATTTTATTCTAATGGGGCTATGATAAGCTGATGAGAGTTGTTACGGAGCTAGCGATACTTGCTGGGTATTCCTTTACTGAGAGAATCGGTATAGGGAAACTATCAAGGCTTATAAAATGTCAGAAAAGAAGCTTGAGTTGTTACAGAACATGTCTTACACTTCCACAGGTCTGTATAGTTTTTTTGAGAGCTAGTAGACTTTTCCTTCTAGTTGAAATTGCAACTTTTATTTTTGGCATAATTTGGCATACTGATTGGAGGCTAAAAGCAAAATCTTGCAGACTTGTTTCTATGGTTTAGAGAATCATCAAATACAAGAAACTAGACAATGAATCATTACCTTTTGAAACCATAAAGTTTTTAAAATGCATCCTCTACTAAAATGTCCCTTTGTATCTGATTTCCCCCCTGTCCTGAGTCCAGGTTTTTTGTTGTGTGTGTGTTTTTTTTTTTATCTATCCACACCAGTTGCACTACACCAAGACTTGTGACCTAACTTGGATACCTGTCTTCCCTGCTTCTGTGAAAACAGAAGTCCGAGGGTTTGTTACACTGAATTTGCCATGATTTCCTTGTGCTTGCTACTATTTGGAGTGAAGATAGTTTTGCTTATAGGACCTGTGCTTTATACCTCAGTTATGCAGTAAACGTCCATTTTCTCCCAGTAACGTTCTACGTGTGTTAGTGTACTGCTGAGGAATATAATTCCTTTTAGGAGTGATCCTAGGAAGAAAATTTAGGTAGTATTTTGCTCTTTTAAGTGTTTTGTTAAAAAAAAAAACAACAACAACAACAACCTGATACTTAAGGTGTAACTCTTGCATTGTTTGCTAGCTGTGGTGGCAGCCCTGAAAACTCTTTATGGAAAGATCTGCCATCTAGAGTTGGAGAAGTTACAGGCTGAAGATAATCTCTGCAGCCTCTCCATAGCATCTGCTCAGTATAAGGCCTTAGAGCATGAATCCTACAAAAAGAACACAGCACATCAAGAACTGATGCAACAGAGCAAAGGTATTTCTCTTGAGTGATAAGGTATAGCCACAGCAACCACAAGACTGAATAATCTAGGGAGTGTTTGTTTTGACAAACTGCTAATTAATGCACACCCCCCCTTCTTTTTTGCTTCAGAATTGGGGAGAGGCAGGAACTTGATAATTGTGGATCAAGTTGAGATCTTTTTTTACATGTATTAACCAATTATTGCATAACCCATAAAGATATTTTAAAGAATAAGCAGATTTCAAGTGGTATGTTTAACTCCTACAGTAAGCAAGCAGCTGCCTACGTGTATAACACTGCTAACTTGAGAAGAGTGAGGAGAAGGAAAGAAACCAGATTCTGGTTAGATATCTGCTGATATAAATCAAAGTAACTGCAGTACTCACACCTTTGGAATTCAAATTAGGGACTAGCTCTGGAAAAACATTTTGATTCTCCTGTCTTATATATAAAATGTATTTTAACCACATGACTTGTTCAGACTAACAAAACTTTTCTTGCCTGTTTTGAAGACAGAGAATTCCTCAGTGAAATGACAGACTGGCTAAATGTGTAACTCCCATTGCTGTACTGAATGGCTTTGTTTCTCTCTGTAGATGTAACTGTGCAGTTAAATGCAGCACAATCCCGCTGCTCCCTGCTGGAGAAACAGCTGGATTACATGAGGAAAATGGTTTCCAGTGCAGAGGTGGAAAAGAAAATGATTTTAGAACAACAGGTGAAGCCCTTTAGCATGCTAACAAAGTAGTGATGTAGTTTAAAAGTATAGAAGTGTGTAAGATCTAAACTTTTTTATGGCCATCATTTTTCCTCAGCTCTGCTCAGGATGGGAGTAAACGGAAGCAATTTACTGTATGACTAGCTGATGACAACCATTCAATGAATTGTATGAAAAGACTGCCTAGGTGGAACTCCTAATGAGCAAAACCATGCTAATACTTGCACATTTGGTAGACAAAAAGGCTGCTGGAAACTTAAGTCTTCTTTGTCTGCCTGGTATTTTTCATCACTTTGCAATTTAAAAAATACAAAATTTAAACTAGTTAAACGCCTTTACTGTAGTGTGTTTGTTTGCTGTCCGAAACAGTTTCAGTCAGCTGCCAGCTCCATTCTTGCTTACTTGTTTCCAGGCCCAGCTTCAGAAAGAGGAAGATCACAACCGGTTGGAACTGCAGGCAAAACTAGAAAAGCTTGAAATGCTAGAAAAAGTGTGTCCTAAACTTAATGCTACTCAGAGAATTGCAGAAGTGAGCATACATGGAATGACAGTCTGAAAGTCATTCATTTGATTTAGTTTGTATGTCATACTGTTAATAGTACTAAGTTTTGCAGAAGTTTCCTCTGTTAAAACTAAGATCATAAAGCATACCTGACTGAATGCCACCTTGGCTTCATTTCCATGAGTCTTTTTTTCAGTTCGGGCTTTAAAAATTCCTGTAGTCCTGTTTTATCCCAAATTACAATTACAAGCTATTTCAGACTTCTGATTCACCATGGAAAACCGAAGTGTGACTAATCATTCTTGCCTTCAGGACAAGTTCAAACACTTAGAAGAAAAACTTTGTAAAGAAGAGCATCAGCATAACCTAGTACAAGACAAAACTGCTCAGGTAGACTGAAAAGGTTTTATTTTATCTTATTTTTTATGACTGAAGAAAGCTATTCTCTCTGTCCAAAGTACCCTTTTTAAAAAAAATTACATTTAAACTCCACATTTTTATTATGCAGGGAGAACTCCTGGAATATTACTTAGACCAGTTATAAACTACATAGTAGAAAACTTGCCAGGTGTGTTGCATATCTCAATCAAGGAAGATTCTATTTGGTTTTGTATTAATGATACAGTTCATTAGCCTCAAAGCTGCTATAAGTGATCTGGGTAGAAAATTAGTTTCTGGAGAACTTGCAACTAAATCAGTTGCAAACCTTAACTTACAGTAACTAGAAAATGGTCATATAAAAAAACGTGTATCCCAAGTAAGGTTGGTTATTCTGTTTGTTTTCCTCTTTTTGTTAAGATCTGCTGAAATCTAATATATTGGATGATACTTGGAAAAGTCTTCAATCAGTGATACTGTTACATTGTTCATTAAGTGAGAGCTTGAATAATTCATTATTCTGTGAAACCATAATCAGTTTATTGGGTCACCATCCATCCAAGAGAGGAATATTTGCCAAAGAGAGTAAAATCAAATAAACCTTTTGTTAAAGGGGCAAAGTAGTATTATTCCAAACCTCACTTCACCAAGAGGTAGCAGCCATTTGGAAAGAGCAGTTGTGGTGGCATTGCCTTGGGGCAGGGTGGGGGACACAGAGCTGAAGAATAGTATTGAAAGAACCTAGCCATAAGCAAAGCTGACAGCTTATATTAATTCATCACTGCTGTCAGCTTTTATACCTCATCCAAGGATGATGGCCTTTCATCAGTCCAGGAAGCTTGAAATAACATGCAGTAGCCCAGGTATCTGACCACCTCCAGAATCCATCAGAATCACACAGTTGAAAACTTGCAGATTTGGGGGTTTCTTAAAGTGCCTGCTGCTTCAGAGCAGAAGGCCTAGTATGGAGATTTTTCTTGAGCATTTGCTCAAGAAAGGACTTAGATGTAGTAAACTGAGTCCTAAACTAGTATTAGTACCATCTTATTTCATGGCAGGATGGATTTAGGTCTGTTGGATCTGGATTGGGAAACATAGGCTGTGGGGTGATGACAGAAGAGCCAGAATAATCTCACTTTTGTGATGGACCTCCAGCATTGTTTAGCCCAAACTGTAACACATGCCAAAAAAGCCCTTGTCCTATGTTTAATTGGGAATCGCCATTATCCTGTTTACCATGGACCTTTATATCAACTTTGAACTACAGAGCAAGCTGAGGATTGTCCAGCAGGTTTGACCTCAATATTACACAGACAGACTCAGTTCTTTCTGCCTCCAGACTGTAAAATCCCAATGTTCATATTCTTTAGATTTTATTATCAGATCCTCAGCACACAGCAGGATTGACTATCTCAGTTGCTGTTTGTCACAGTGGAAAAATACTGCTGCAGCTGAATATGAAAATTGAGACTTCTAAGACAAAGCTGTAAGATCTGCCTGATACCCTGCCATCTGGTAATCTGTTCAGTTTTTAAGTGTAGCTTATGCCTTCCAATCAGGACAGTTAATAGTGCCCTTATTTGGTTCTCATCCATGCATGAAAGAGGGGATTAATTAAACTATGTGATATCATACTTCTAATATTACATTAAATGGTGGTTTTATTTTTTGCTTATTCCCACAGCTTCAAACAGGATTTGAGATAAATGGAATTTTGATGTCTTCGATAACATCTCAAAATGAACCTAAAAAGGAAAATGGGAAGAAGAAAAAAACTAAGAAGGTAACATGAAAGTTTTTATTATCATACTGTTGCTGATAGCATCTGACTCGCACAGAGATTAGTATTTGAGAAATACGATGATGTAAGAGGCCCTTGACTTGTCTGCTTCACTTTACTCCATTTCCAAGGTGATGAACAGTGGTGAATACCTCTTTTTTTTCCTTTGGTAATTAAAACAGTGCTAGGGCTGGTAGGACCTCGCTGGAAAACTTTCCCTTACCAGCATGACAATAACCTCTGTTACAGTCTTACTGCTATTCCCCATGTCCTGTCTTGGCTGCTTTCCAGTTTTTCTAGCAAAATTAGTTTCCAAAGCAATTTTAACTAGGCATCTTAAGATGCTGTGTTTTGGGTGGATTGCTGAAATCAAGAGAATTCATTTTGCAACACATGTTACAGATCAGTCAAAATTTTGCAACTGTGGTTTTGCAAACTTAAGTAAGCAATGTTCAATTTCTTCAATGTCAACCTAATTGTCAAACTATCTGCTAAATGTATCTGGAATAAAATGTAGTGGTCGCAGTTGCTGGACAGTCCTACTCCTTCCGCATACAGGAGGGAAATTATTGGTTTTTAAACCAGAGGGAAACTGAGGTGATCCATTTCACTGCTTGTTTATTTGAATTTTACTTATTAAAAAAAAAAAAAGTTTAAGATTGTGCTGTTGAGTCAGCAGATTGGAATTTCTTGTCTGACTTTTTCTGTCTATGTTATGGCAGACAAATCCTGCAATGAGGAAAATACACCTTTCACAATTACATGTAAAGGCTGGTGAACTACCTTTTGTGGCTGGAAAGGTGAGGGAAACCAAATGTTCTTGCTAAATTGGCATCTACAATTTCAATAAGTCTCTTTACTGTAATTGTTAATCACTTCTGTAAACCACTTAATTCTGCTTTAAGTCTGTCAGCTCCAGCCATTCTGTTAGTGCAGATACACAAAGTATGTTGCATGTTATGAAGCATCACAATCCACATATCACGAAGCCAAGGAGGAGCCACATCTGGGATTTCAGGACACAGTGCACTTTCAAAATCTGTATCCTCTTGTTCCACATCACCTACTGCCACCAGAAATCTTTCAGACCTGTTGGCCATACAAGATGAGCTGGGCCAAATCAGCTTGTGAGTACTCATCCTTCGTGTTACAAGTAAAAGTGACTTCAGTGGTAGCCCTGTGTCCTGGCTTTGGCTAAGATAGAGTTAATTTTCTTCCTAGTAGCTGGTATAGTGTTATGGTTTGGATTTAGTATGAGAATAATGTTGATAACACACTGATGTTTTTAGTTTTTGCTAAGTAGTGTTTATACTAAGTCAAGAATTTTTCAGCTTCTCATGCCCAGCCAGCAAGAAGGCTAGGGGTGCACAAGAAATTGGGAGGGGACAGAGCCAGGACAGATGACCCAAACTGGCTGGGAAGGATATTCCATACCATATGACATCATGGCCAGTATATAAACTGGGAGGAGTTGGACGGGAAGGGCCGATCACTGCTCAGGGATCATTGCTTGGGCATCAGTCATTGGGTGGTGAGCAATTGCATTGTGCATCA